AATATATTAGATACGTGAGTATGTCAGCTTATAAATAAAAACTATTATTGAATTGAATTATATCGAATGTCAGGTTAAAATTTTCATTAATTAAATCAAAATTCGTGTTTATCCACTAAACTAGGGGCACATTTTCTTCTTTTCTTCTTTCTATGCAGGTGGGCAGACGGGGAATTTTGAATTTCGATCCATGCAGTAACATCATGTGATGCTCCCGTCCATTGATAACAGGAGTACACATCTAACCAACGAACCAATGGCAGCTGACCCTCCAAATCTTCTAACGGCTTAAGATTCCATTCGGGGTAAAAAAAGTCATTGAGAAGCTTGGAAGATGAATGCATAATACCCGTTCTTTAATACCCACTATCCAAATTTCGCGAGTGGCTAAGCACGAGACGAGACATAACTTCTACTCAAACAGTTTATGTACGTGTAGACGATTTAACTGATCCTAGAATGCTCGGGCATTCCAAATATTGTGTACTTCCTCTCATATCCTAGCTAGATATTCATATCAACGTAGAGAATCAAAAGTCGAGATTTTTTTCGGTCATTAAAACGTTCGATAATTGTCCCTTTTGTTTGGGTAAGAAATTAGGGGTTTGTAAATGGATATGCATGGGTGGGGCGAGATTGTGCAGGCAGTCCAAGTCAGGGGTATCAGATAGACTACTAGAAACCTCCTTTTTGAGTATTAACGCCTTGTGCCGCCCTTGGCGCCCTCTTGCTTTCGGTATTAATTGCATGAAACATGACAATGCAACAATGTGTGTTTGAACAAACCCTAATCAACCTTCAATCTAGATGCCCTTTTGAACATTGTCATTTGATTCCCTCCAAATTTGCACTTTATCTCTTGCTCTTTGATTGTGATAACCCATTGCCCATTTGCCAGCATGTTACGTGAATTCTTCTCGTGTATCGTATCAATGTAATGATGTATGTTTAAGACGTGTTTTGAATGTTTAAAACTGTTATTTAAAGCTTTCGTAGTGCATTCTTGATTTAAAACCAACGAATAAGTCGGTCATATGAAAATCGCACTTTATCGAGGAGGTTTAACAATTACTTAGTTCCAGTGATAGTAGATTATAATGCATTTTCACTCTAGCGGCAGTGGACATGAAAAAGGTCAAAATGTCATACTTTTACTGAGTGTCCATTGCTAGTAGATATCTTCATCTTTCGGGTTTTTCTCGAGGTCTTTAAGACGTGTCTGCTAGAAGGAGGTTTCCACACCCAGAATCTATAAAGAATGTTTTATTTTCCTCCTCAACCGATGTGGGTTCTCACAATCCACCCCCTCCAGGGCCCAACGTCCTCACTAGCACTCGTTCCTTTCTCCAATCGATGTGGGACCCCTCAATTTACCCCCCTTTGAGACCCAACATTCTTGTTGGCACACCGACTCGTGTCCACCCCCCTTCGAGGTTAAACCTCCTCATTGGCACACCGCCCCTTGAGGCTCAACCTCCTCGCTGTCACATCACCCGGTGTCTACCTCTAATACCATTTGTAACCGCCCAAGTCCACCACTAGCAAATATTGTTTTCTTTGGGCTTTCCCTTTCGAGCTTTCCCTCAACGTTTTTAAAACATTTCCGCTAGGAAGAGATTTCCACATGGTTATAAAGAATGTTTCGTTCTCCTCCCCAACTCGATGGGATCTCACAGACAACGTGACATGTGGACAAGCATATCGAAGATACAGAGCTCACCAGCTAAAGCATATATCTTAAACTAATATATCTTAAATTAAAAGACTAGATGTTCGAATTCTTTTTCTTACATGTCGGAACAAATATATATTGAATAGAACACGGAATCATGCCCACTTGTCGGGAGAGTAAATTCACGGATAGGTAATTTCTCGAAAAAATAATAAAGAAAATAAAAAAAATGAGTGAAAAAATAAAAGGGCCCATAATTAGGGTTACATGGGGAACACATATCCAATGCAATCTTTTTGTGATCTAAATCTCTTTGCCCTCCAATCCACGGCATCAAACCCTTTCAACATCCACCTTCCAAACAAACACTTTTCTTACTACAAACTCTAATTAATGCAACTTTTGGACTCTAATTTTCCCGCTTTCTCGCCTTCTTCTCCGACCGACAACCCATCTCGTCTAATACAAGCTAAAAACAAACTCGATATGATTCAAAAGATTGAACTGTTTCTATATAAATTGTGAAAATCGTATGAGTTGAGTTGGATTAAAGTTTAGTTTGAACTATTTAAGTCCTAAATTATGGATATATTGTGAGATCTCACGTCGATTGGAGAGAAAAACAAGTGCCAACGAGAACAGAGTAGACAGACGGCGTACCAACGAGGACGCTGAGCCCCGAAGGGGGTGGACACCAGGTGGTGTGCCAACAAGGAAGCTAGGCCCTGAAGAGGTGGGTGGATTGTGAGTTTCCACATCGATTGAAGAGAGGAATGAGTGCCAGCTAAGACGTTGAGCCCCGAAGGGAGTGGATTGTGAGATCCCATATTGGTGGTAGAGGGGAACAAAACATTCTTTACAACGGTGTGAAAACCTCTCCCTAGTAAAGCATTTTAAAAATCTTGAGGAAAAGCCCGAAAGGAAAAGCCCAAAGAGAACAATAGTTGCTAGCGATGGGTTTGAGCTATTACATATATTATCGTCTTTTATCTTACTATCACACATTGCATGACTATATATTTGAATAAATTGTTGTTGTTTGTAATAGCTCAAGTTCGCTTTGGCCATTACGTATCGCCATCTGCCTCACGAATTTAAATCGTGGGGTCCAACGTCCTCACTGGTATACTGCCCAATGTCTCGTTCTATTACTATTTGTCATAGCTGAAGCTCACCGCTAACAAATATTATCCGCTTTGGCCCATTATATATCATTATCAGCCACACGATTTTAAAACCTGTCTCGCCAGAAGATAAGGTTTAATAAAAATAAACCATATTTTAATTATATATATCATTCATATGCATGCATAATCATTTTTTTTATATAATTGTTTGATAATAAAAAATAAATAAAAAAATCTCCCGTCTCCACTCATATATTGGAAAGACTTCTAGTTTTAAGTCGAAAGTGTTACTTAGAAGCAGTTTCCCATCTAAGACTATTCCACTCTTTTTTCGGTACCAAACAAAAACAATGCTAAGGTAGCACTCACCATGAAAGTTCAGCTTATTTCAGGCCAATCATATGTTAATTTGGGACATCTGAGTGGTAAACCAAAGATTAATTTACGAGCCAGTGTTGATCCCTATAATAAGTTGACTTTGGACCATTTAATGGGTACCAAGATTGGTTGTTCGACATTCGACAATTCTAGTCATAGACACAGTGCTGCTATTCTCCTCAGCTATGCGAAAACTTCAAATATTCGACTGCATACATGTCTATGCAAGCTAGGTAAGTGTTAAAATAATACCCTTAACCTCTTCCCGTGCAAGGTTGTTTTTCACGACCAAGGAGAACCATGCAATGGTGCGTGAAAATGAGAGATGATGCTCTATGCTAGGGTTTTCAGAATCCCACGACGTCTACTTCTGGTGGCATTGGATCGAGGTTGTCCCAACGATTTTTATCGCTCGGTCATAACATTTAAAATTTTAGCTAAATTTTTGAAAGCTATAAGATGGAGCATACTATGGCCAAACTTGAAGGTTAACGTATAAAGCAGCCAAACATCCCCTATTGGCTAGGCCCTCACTCCTCCGTGATAGCAACCGCCGCGGCTGCCAAGGCCTTCCGCCTGTCCACACAAGCGCCACTCATTTAGCCCTAATGTTCAACATCAACATCACTCATGCCGTATGAACTATGCCATATTAATGCTTAAAGCTTTTTAGTATCGTATCTTCCTTTATCCACTCCCATTTATTCTTCATATTTTAAATTTTTATTTATATCTTCTATGTCGTTTTCTTGAATACGTTATCTATTAAGCTATGCTTAATTTTTAAGAATTCAACACGAAGGAGAGTACTTCTGTGTTGGATGATCTGTTAGGAATTTCTCGAGTAATAACAAAACATACGGAAAGAATGTACTTGTAGTTGGCTTGTGAGAATAGTTTTCACTTTAATTGTAACGACCCTAGATTTTTATTTAGTTTAAGTTCGTTACTGTATACATATCATAGTCATTTTATGCATAAATAATTCATTTAAAACTTTATTATAAAAAAATTGTCATGGACTTACATGTTTATTCGAACGTATTTAAACAATTTTTAAAAAATTGAAATAAAATAAAGTAGAAATGTACTGTACTAACCTTACACTACGAATTTAAATGCATGTTGTCCTATACTAACCTATAGTTTATGAATTTTAGATTTGAACTACCCTTTGCATGTATCGTGGTTTCTTGAGTTGCGAATGGGAGCCTTGCCTTTACCTAGGAAATAAAAATAGCACGTGACTTGAGTATTATAAGAAATACTCAATAAGTGACTCCGCTATTGGAGTTAGATGCAAGCACATACAATCATGGGCGAGACCTATCCTAAACGGGTAATTTAATGTGTATTTACTGTTCTACACACTGACTACACGTGTGAGTATGGACCCACCAGTCGGTTTGTACACCTCTTGGGCCCCTTACTTGGTCAGGCTAGTATTCTCTAGAGCTGTTGTTGGAGAACCGATAAGAGTAATGACCGTCGCGACATTATGATAAGCATAATAATCGTTTTACAACTTTATAACGTACGCGTCCGTACCATTATAAAAAGAGGGGCATTCCAAGATGTATGAATACAAAATGGAGGTTGTCTTGCATTATTTATTATGTCATGATGGAAAGTACTGGGATCTCATGCGTAATTGTATGTTCACGTGCATCGGGATACTTCCCGATTATGATGAATACAAACGTGTACACTATGATATTGATTATAACCATCATATTTACCAAGATACTACAATGGTCGCTATTCCCTCTAGGTGTCCAGCAACAACCCATGAACGAGTGCTAGCCTAACCAACAGGCCCAAGGGTGTGCAAACCCATCCAACTTAGCCATGGTCGCATATGTGGGTCGTGTGTACAGAAATACTACACATCCAACTTAGCCCATACTGAAAAGCGGTCTGAAGAAATGAAATGATGTTTCAAATGATAGGTCCCACCATGTTGCATGTGTTTGCATTCCGCAATACCCGTCGTGGAGTGATTTTCTTAAAATACTCTAGTCATGTGCTACTCTTACATTTTAGGTAAAGGCAAGACGTTTCTATACAGATGACAGCAACGTCGTGACGAACCATGGAGCTAGTGTTAGAGTAGCTGCATTTATGTTTATTTTGTAACTCTTACGTAAATCTAGAAATTGTGTTATTCTTCTCGTTATTTTCAAACGGGTTAAGTTCATGACATCATTTATAAACTATTTTAAACGAAGTATTCCACACTTTACCGTCATGTCATACATGTCGTATCGACTCTATCTGTGTCCGTAAAAACACAATTTGTTTTTCAATCCATCCCAACTTCTTCTCCACAAACCTACCTCCATCCCTAATTTCAACTTGCTTCAACCTCAACTCATCTAATTCCTCATACAAAATCTGCAATTAAACACCATAATTAACCATTAATCAAACCAAATAATCTCTCTAATCACAATCAAACTTGAATTACTTGAACTTGTCGTTGAACATGTTTCTTTGATCCCAAAGAGCTCCACAGCCTTCCACCCACACCAGCATTGGCCACAGCCGTCTCTTTCTCCATTTCATGCACTTTCTTTTCTCTGTAAATCTCTTCAAAATCTGTTCTATATAAATGCATACGAGAGTTCTTAATCTGTTCATCCAAGTTCTTAATCTGTTTGGATTCCGAGAAAATCAAAAGGAAAATATTAATACTGATGATCCAACAAAGAAATTTAAAGGGAAGGAGTTTAAGTTTGTGTACAGGAGCTTCAAGTTCATCAAGGGTTGTTCCAGCTTGTTTACTCTTCTGGCTTGTATTGATATCCCTTAATAGCTTCTTCTCCTTAGCCATATTTTTGCTTCCATGTCGGAGTAAGAACTGTAATTTCTGTTGTTTCATTCGTTAATAAGTTCTTAAACTTTTAATTTTATTTTTAACCGGTCTTTATAGTTTAAAAGTATGGTGAAATTTGATTGGAATACGATCTTGAAATGTATATTCGATATTTTCTTTTGTAATTAATCGATTTATTAGACCTAAAATTGAATTTTGTGTCTAGTAGACTTCTAAATTTTTTAATGGGGTAATACAGATATTAGTAGATTTTTTTTTAGAAGTTGAATACATTTAAGAACCTACCAAACATGTTTAGAAACTTATTAAATACAAAATTAAAAAATTAAAGACCTAATCGACACAAACGGTAACATCTCAAGCTCCCCACAGTAGTTATCGTCTGTTTTGAGTTTTTTTTTCGGGTTTTTTCTCAAGATTTTTAAAACGCGTCTGCTAGAGAGAGGTTTCTACACCCTTATAGAAAAATATTTTGTTTTCCAGATGTGGGATCTCGCAATCTACCCCCTTCGGGGTCTAACCTCCTCGCTAGCATATCGTCCGGTGTCCATGCCCTGACGATATCGTCATCTTTGGGCTTTCCCTTTTGGGCTTCTCTTCAAAGTTTATAAAACGTTGTCTTCTAGGGAGAGGTTTCCACACCCTTATAAAAAATATTTCGTTCCTCCAACTCTGGGATCTCACAATCCACCCCCCTTCGTGGCTCAGCCTCCTCGCTAGCATATCACCCGATGTCCACCCCTATTCGGGGCTTAGCGTCCTCGTTGGCACAACGCCCAAAACCTAGCTATGAAATCATTTGTAACAGTTCAAGCCCATAACTAGCAGATATTGTCCTCTTTGGACTTTTCCTTTCGAGTTTCTCCTCAAAGCTTTTAAAACGCGTAGGTTAGGGAGAGGTTTCCACACCCTTATAAAAAAAAAAATGTTTCGTTCCCCACCTCTGAGATCTCAAAATCCACCCCCTTCGTGGCTCAACCTTCTCGCTAGCATATCGTCCAATGTCCACCCCCATTCGGGGCTCAGCGTCCTCGTTGGCACAGCGCCCAAAACCTAGCTCTGAAATCATTTGTAATAGCTCAAGCCCACAACTAACTAACAAATATTATCCTCTTTGGACTTTCTCTTTAGGGTTTCTCCTCAAGGTTTTTAAAACGCGTCTACTAGGAATAGGTTTTCACACCCTTATAAAGAATGTTTCGTTCCCCTCTACAACTAACATGAGATCTCACACAAACCTACTAAAACTTCACTGACTAATAGTCCGTATGATAACCATTTGATTTTTTGCTCTTAGATTTTTAAAAAATTATGATTGTTTTTTCATCATTTCTCTACACGGATTCATCGTTCTTAAAGAAAACGTTTAAAAACAAATGAATAGCAAATAGTTCCACTTTGAAATTCAAATTAGATATCAAATCTAAGAAATGAAGAGATTTTAGAGTTAATTACCTGCTTGTCAAGCTCACCAGCTGATAGGAATGAAGTAGTTTTGTAGGCAGTGTTTGTAAAAGAGAGCTTGTCTAGACATAGCTGAAGCTTATTTAACTTCTCCACTACCAATTTTACTTCTTCTTTTATCAACTCTTCTTGGTACTTTAGATGCCTTACATTCCATTTCATTTCCCTTTCTTCCACCTGCACCAATATAAAAAATGTAAATATCAATTCATTTTTAAAATAAGGGCACGTTTGACAACGGACCGATATAGTTTTATAATGATACGATGTTGTCAATTTTAGACACGGGCTTTCATGATTTTGAGTTCAAGTTCTATCTCAAAGATTTATAAACCCTAAACCCTAAATCCTATTTAAAATATTTCAAAATTTATAGATATTGTTTAGGGTTTAGGGTTTTATCTCTCACGCTTCTACTAAAGGTTTTTAAAACGTGCCTGCTAGAGAGAGGTTTCCACACCCTTATAAAAAAAAAATGTTTTGTTCTCCTCCCAAATCCATGTGGGATCTCATAATCCATCCTCTTCGGGGTCTAGCGTCCTCGCTGACACTCGCTCCCTTCCCCAATCAATGTGGGATCCCCCCAATCCACCCCCTTCAAGGCCAGTGTCCGCACACTGCCTCGTGTTCACCCCCTTTGAGACTCAATCTCTTCGCTGGCACATCGCTCGGTGTCTAGAGCTAATAACATTTGTAAAGGCTCAAGCCCACCACTAATAGATATTGTCCTCTTTGGATTTTTTCCTTTTGGGCTTCTCCTCAAGGTTTTTAAAACGCGTATGCTAGGAAGAGGTTTCCACACTCTTATAAAAAAATGTTTTGTTCTCCTCTCGAACCGATCTAGGATCTCACAATCCACCCTCTTCGAGGCCTAGCGTCCTCGTTGGCACTCGTTCCCTTCCCCAATAGATGTAGGATCCCCCCAATCCACCCCTTCAGGGCCCAGTGTCCACCCCTTTTGGGACTCAGCCTCCTCGCTGGCATAACGCTCGGCGTCTAACTCTAATAACATTTGTAAAGGCCCAAACCCACCGCTAGTGAATATTGTCTTCTTTGGACTTTTCCTTTCGGGCTTCCCCTCAAGATTTTTAAAAAATGTTTCGTTCTTGTGAAAATGAATCCAGATGAAACAAGCTCCTCGTAAAATGAATAATGAATATGTATGTATATATATAATATGTGAATCAAATTCATAAGGAAAGAGAAGTGAGAGAGAAGCTTATAAAGTTTAAATAGCATACCATTTTTTGAGAAAGGGAACGGGAAATTCGATCATAACAAGCTTGAGTTTGTGCCATATCTGTTCAACTTGGATAGCAACCAATGCTATGGTAATGGAGGAATTGGCTAAAGAGATGCCTAAAACTTGCACACATTATATACCAAATGAGCAGCCAAAGGAGTCCGTCAACTTTAGTGGCCTATTTTGATGTTCAAAAAGCTAGTCCAAGTCAAACCAGGCTGCCATTTTTTCTTAATAAAATATGGTCTTTTTCAACGTCGATAGAGGAGGATTGACGATACTTCTTCCTATGGTGAACCTGAAATGTCGATATATTGCCACGATGAACCCGAAGGTTTCCTGTTACAAAGATGTGAATAGAAGAAAGGTTTAGTGTAACGTTCCTAATTTTCTTAACCTAATTAGTGTCGCCACTCCGGCTTACTTTAATCATATATGCTCAAGTTCATACTAAATCTTTTTAAAATAAAGTTATGGATTTACATACTCAATTCAAAATAAGAAATTAAACCTAACAGTTTTAAATATAAAAACAATTGTATTAAAAATACCTATGAACTATTCATTGAAATTGAATGCGTTCTACTCCCCTATCATGCCCTATTCGAACTTTCATGGTCTTTCCAGTCGTGTTCACTGTCATCCATGCATGAGAATTTTACTTTTACCTGAAAAAATATAAGGATAGTCGTGGCTTGAGTATTTTATGAAATACTCAGTAAGTCAGTTTATTGTTGGGGTTGAGTCGAGGAAGCCGAGTTGTTAAGTTGAGTTTAAGTCGACAGTTTCTAATCTATAGTGAACCTCTTAATAGGATTCGAACCCGTATGAAGTTCTGACCATTTGTCAAAGAAAAAAAAAAACGAATGGATCTTGTAGGATTTTCGAGATGTCAAGTTGAGTCGGAGAAGCCGAGTTGTTAAGTTGAGTCTAAGTCGAAAGTTTCTGATCTCTAGTGAACCTCTCAATAGGTTGAATGCATATGAAGTTCTGACCATCTATCAAAATAAAAAAAGAACTAATGGATCTGGCAGGATTCTCGAGCTGTCAAGTTGAGTCAGAGAAGCCGAGCTGTTAAGTTGAGTCTAAGTCAACAGTTTCTGATCTCTAGTGAACCCCTCAATAGGATTCGAACCCATATGAAGTTCTGACCATTTGTCAGAAAAAAAAGAACAAATGGATCTTGTAGGATTTTCGAGCTGTCAATTTGAGTCGGAGAAGTCGAGCTGTTAAGTTGAGTCTAAGTCAACAATTTCTGATCTCTAGTGAACCTCTCAATAGGATTCGAACGCATATGAAGTTATGGCCATCTATCAGAAAAAAAAAAAAAAGAACGAATGGATCTTGTAAGTTTCTCGAGCTGTCAAGTTGAGTTGGAGAAGCCAAGCTGTTAAGTTGAGTCTAAGTCAACATTTCTGATCTCTTGTGAACCTCTCAATAGGATCGAACCCATATGAAGTTCTGACCATTTGTCACAAAAAAAAAAAACGAATGGATCTTATAGGATTTCCGAGCTGTCAAGTTGAGTTGAAGCATGCGGCAAAGCCAAGCCGAACAAGCCGCCACACGAGTCGAAATCGAGCCATTTGTTGAGCCGCAGCTGAGTTAGGTCACGTGTTGGGCGCGTGCCGAGCGAGCCGAGGGAGGTGCGGGTTAGTGGCCCAATTAGGCGTGATAACCAAAAGGCAAAGCCCATCTCCTCTCTTTCAATCAATCCATCGGCAGGCGGCAGCTTCTCAGAGTCTCCGCCATATCCTCCATTGCTGCTTCTGCTTCTGCTTCTGCTTCCTTCTCTTTCACTCTCCACCTCCCTCTCCCTCCCCCTCTCTCAATTCCCAAATCCTATAGTTTCTTCGCCTCAGACTCCTTCCATTTCCAACCCGCTATGAACACTCAAAGGATTCTACTGGGGACTTTTGGCCGGCAGCATTAGGTAAACTTCCTTCTTTCTCTCCTTTTAACACGAACCAATTGATGTGACAGAGATAACGAAACATGGGAGAAGATAAGAGCGCATAACTCTGAATTCTTCCCTCTTTCTGTGTACTATTTAAGTTCATCTGTTGGAGAAAAGCTTTAGATTTCATATTCAGGGGTTTGCGCCGCGCCCCTTCTCTGCTTAGTTTCTGTACGCGGCTAGTGTAGGAAAACGTATGCTGGAATGTCATATGGGAGAGGATAAGAGGACATAACTCAGAATTCTTCCCTCTTTTTGTGTAATATAAGTAAAATTTTGCTGGAAAAAAGCTGTAGATTTCATATTGAGAGGTTTGCGCGCTTAGTTTATGTACGCAGCTAGTGTAGAAAAATGTATGATGGAATGTTTATGGGAGAGGATAAGAAGGCATAACTCAGAATTCGCCGTTCTTTTTGTGTAATATTAGTACAAATCTGTTGGAATAAAGCTTTATATTTCATATTGAGAGGTTTGCGCGGCCAGTGTAGAAAATTTATGGTGGATGGATTAAAGAGAAGGGTAATTAAGGTTGAGATGTGAATTGGGTAGATTAATGATTGAACAAACATTGAGATTTTTATGCTTCTTACATGATGTTGGAGCTTTGATGTCAGGGTGTTGGAGTGTGGCATATGATCAATTGAGGTGTTTATCAAAGGATGAGTAGCATGATGCAGATAACTGCGACACAGAATTCTCTCTGTCCCAATAAATCAATATGTCTTGTTTCTAAGTCAACGTATCCATCGTTCCTTGCTAGTCAGACACGAAGTGCTTTTGTGAATCCAAGTGCCAATGCATCTTATTTAAAGAAAGGTCTACCAGTATTGAAGTATGATCATCGGAGGGTTGGATTAAAACATCGGTATACCCCAATTGCTTCCTTGTTTGGTAGCAAGGGAAAGGACAATGCTGATGGGGTGAGAACATCTTTTACTTTGTTGTCATTGCTGTCTATTTATCAATTTTTTCTTTAACTATTTCTAAATTCTGTTCTTTGATGCTTTTTTCTGCCCGTAATACTTTGTCTAGCTCTCTTCTCTAACTAGTGGAACAAAAATTGTCTCTAACTAGATCGTACAATATGTGCTTCTTGCAAATCTTGTGTGTCATTTTGTCTTTTTCATGAAGCAATGGTTGATGGATTAGTACACTTGTCGGTAACGAAACAGAAATGACTGGAAAGCTTAATGTTGTAATTTATGTTTTGTTACTGACAAGTGTTTTAGTGTATTCACCAATGCGTTAACTTTGAAAACGTCAGCTATTGCAGTAAGTTCTTCATCAATGGATTAACTTTTCATGTCCGATCATACTTTTGATTTTATGCTCTTGATTTTTGTGATATCGAAGAAAAAACTCGAGTGTCAGAATTGCAGCTAGTTTTGCAAGCAAGGTAGAACATCTTAAACATTGTGGATGGAGGATTTGGAGTGTTTTTTTCTTTTTTTTTTTTCAAATGAGTAAATCTCAACTTTGGAGTTTGATAAGTTGCTATTTATTTAAGAGGTATCTGCAAATCTAGATACTAATGGTACCTTGTTTCTAGCAGGGTTCTCCATGGAAAGCTTTCGACAAAGTTGTTGAAAATTTTAAGAAGGGACGATCAGTAGAAGATATATTGCGACAGCAAATTGAAAACAAAGACTTCTATGATGGTGGAGATGGTGGAAGAACACCTCCAGGTGGTGGCGGTGGCGGTGGCAGCAGTGGCGGGGATAGCTCCAGTGAATCTGAGGATCCTAGCATTTTAGGAATTCTGGAAGAAACAATGCATGTAGTTCTGGCGACCATTGGCCTTGTTTTAGTGGTAATAATCATTTTCTTAGCTAAGCTCTAGATGTGTAGCTACAACTTCACCGAAGGAGGCATACTATAAGTATACTAGATTAGTAACCGCTGGATGGGTGATCCGGGAACAGCAACGGGAGAGGGCTCGTAGCCCCCCCTCTCCCTCTTCCTCGCGCCTATTTGTTCTCCCGGCAGTTTTTTTGTCCTCTCTTCTTAGTCAAGCTAGAGAAATTGCTATATCTTCTTCCATAGCTCTTAAAGGAAAAAGATTTTGTACAACAAACTATTGGCCTTTTTAGACTTGGCTTGAGTGTTGTAGCTTTCCGTGGATGCAGGGTTATATTCTTCACCCTCATCATTCGGCCAGCTCAACGCTAAAAATTGAAGGTTCAAGCTCAGCCCAAGTCCACGTCCAATAGGCCTAACACACTGTTTGCCCCGGATTGAGCTAGACCCAACCTTAAATAGCAAGCTCATGGCTCAAACCTTGGACTTGGGTTGAGCTTGGATCAAGCCTAGGCTAGACTTCGAGCCCGTTGATGAAGCCGAAGTATTCTCGAGGAAAATCATGTTGTATTCTCGAGGAAAATCATGTTGCTTTGGATACATTAGTAATATCTTAGTTGTGGGGAAATCTTAGGAACATTTGAATTGTGGGTTGTGTACTTACAAGTTAAGTTACAAAGCTTCACTTATGTTTTATTGTTTGAATGTTTGTTTGGGCAGTACATTTACATCATTGAAGGGCAAGAGCTGGTTCTATTAGCAAAGGATTACATCAAATACCTCTTCGGAGCAGACCGGAGTGCCCGCTTGAAGAGCGCAATGTACAGTTGGGGAAAGTTTTACAAAAGACGCACTCAAAAGAAGCCGAAACCTGATGAATATTGGCTGGAGAAAGCTATTCTGAACACCCCAACATGGTGGGATCATCCTGATAAGTACAGGTACGCCATAATGGAATATTTAGAATCTCAGGGTCAGCTAGAGAGTCCTGCGTCGTCGTCGTCGTCATCATCATCCTCATCCTCGTCATATGATGCCTCATCATCATCATCATATGACGATGAGGAATATGAGGAGTCAAATTCTGATGATGAACAATTCTGATTCCATTTGCTTTTAAACCAACCTTTTGGTTTTTTGCTTACAACTTCGTTTTCTGAAATGCTAAATTAGATATCTTATGGGTTTTTGGTGTAATGATATACAGTACAGAACATGGATCTGCTTGGTCACTTTTTCACCACTCTTTAAACTGTTCTTGGTTATCTGATCTCGAAATGTTTCTGGGTGCTTGGAAGTAGATTAGTAAGAAAACGTG